CCTGGCCTCAAGTGGTCCTACTGCCTCGGCCTCCTAAAGTGCTGAGATTATAGGCATGAGCCACTATGTTTAGCCTATTATTTCTTTTATTCAACCACTCTCTGTAGTAATACTTCATTTACCCTACCTCATTAAGAAGCAGCCATTCCTGAGACTTTTCAAGGTAAGTAAAAGTTATTCCTAAAATACCAATGTTTCCAAAAATTCTATTTTTAAACAAAACATCTGTTTCTAAATGTAAACTGATCCCAATTAGTTTACCCTAAGACTACTGAAATATATAGGGGTATCTGGGTCTAAATTAAGTGGTCTTGGGCAGCTGTACTTTTGGAGTTCCTCTGTTAATGACTTACGGTTTTTATGGCCTGTCCTTGCTCTCATTTAGGATCCTGTCACTTCTTACTAGAGCTCTGAATTCTTGAAGCAATAACCACCCTCACTTTACCTGCTATTAGTGTTGACTGTGTTTTGGGAAACCAGGCATCAGTTTGAACTGATTTGTTTTAAAAAAAGATTGAACTGTTTGTGGATGAGGGACTGAAGAAGTAATGAGGTGGGTGAGGAGAATTACACAATAATTTTAACAATCTGGGCCCAGATAGGCTTTTGTAGAGGTTCTGAGCTGTTTTAAAAAGGTGAGATTGCTGCACAAAAGAGGCTCTGGAGGAGAAAAGTGCTAATGTTAGTTTTCTTTCTGCTCATAGGCTAACTTATCAAGTGCATAAACACATACATATTTAATGACATATGAATTTGCTTCTAGTTCAGCTGATACATGCATACATATGTAGAAAAGTAATTAAATAATGAGAGTTATCAAAAAAAAAAAAAAAAAAAAGAAAAGCCCACTTCACCAACACAGGAGCTAGATAACAATGCTTCTTCTCGAGTGTGTCCACTGATATGTATATGCAGAAAAACTGTTAATATAACAAGCCACTAAAAGAAAACAAGAAGCCCACTTCACAAAATACAGAAAAATAGTGACTACCTGTTAAAGACTCACTTTTAGTGGTGGAGTACGCATTAATTCATGCAGATTAACTGTGTTTAGAAACTAACTTTGTAGATGTTAAAAACCACTGTAGATGTAAATAAGAACATTTTCCTTCTAAGCATTTCAATTTTTTAGAATAACTTTTCACATTAGCAGATTATAAACGTGTGTTTGGCTAATAAACCTAGATTTCCCCCTAAACACATAATTCTGATAAAGTCTAACAAAAAAGAGAGAAAGAAACAGGAAGACATTTTTTTTATGTGCAGAGAAATGTCTTCTTCAGGCCAAGGTCACATAGCCCATGCTAATTTGCATGGTTTTAAAAAAAGTGTTCTAATTATAGCCTACTCTAACATACCTGTGATTCATCAAAAGAAAAAAAAATCAACTCCAGGTTGGACTTTTTGTGACCTGGAAGCTCTCTGGCCCTGTGACCCCCCTTGGTACTTAGTATGGTGTGTTTTCAGAAACTGTAATACAAGTTATGTTTATTACCTGCTTATTAAAATGACAAAGGAAATAACATAATGCATAAAATATAACCAGATTATCCGCTAGTTTGGATTACCTTTACTAATGTTCTCTTTTAGAAGGACAGATAAATGGGAATTAACTTTTGTCAAGCCCTTTTGTATGAGTCTTTATTTATTATAAGAATTCCTGAAAACGACTTAAGAAATGGACATGGAACCAGAGACAACAAACAAAAATGAAATTCTTCTAGTCTCAGGTAATATTTCTTAGTGCAAGAAATAAAGTATTTTCTAAGCCTTATTCTGGGTACACATTTTGCTCTGAGCTTTATTTGCTTTTTGCAACAGCATTTAAGAGAAAACCAACTCACCATTTACAACCTAAACAATGGCTTTGGGGTATGATTAAGAAATGCACCTGGGCTCACTCAAACAACACGTTTGTTTAACCTGGTGACTTTCCTGTGTCTGGGGTCAGGCAGGAGCAATCTTGGTTGGGGGCAGGAAAGAAAAGCAAATACAACTGACTCACTGAGAACAAAATGGTTGCACTAACTACCCTTTGTAATTACAACTGTTTTAACAGTTTCTAGTAGGCAAGGCTATCATTTCAGTGACCCACTGTAATTTGGGATGAAACCCCAGGAAATTATGCCAACTTTGGAATAGGAGTTGCATTTCTGAGTTTACTCAGCATGATGAATCCACTAAAATGCTGACTATCCTTTTTTTGGCATAAACTTATGTCAAGGGGAAAATGAACATTAAAATGAATATAGCTAGAGAGACAAACTATCACAACATTCACTCCCAGGAGCAGACCATAGTTTATTTTACTTTCTGGATCTTTTTATTATGGAACATTTCAATCATATAGAAAAATGCAGAATAAAATAATGAACACCCCCCAACATCATTTAGTTTTGATAATCACCAATACGTGGCCAATCTTATTTTATTGTACCCTATCCACTCTGCTCTTCAATATTATTAAAATATATATATATATTCTTTTAGAGATGGGGTCTTGCTCTGTTGCCCAGGCTGGAGTAAAGTGGTGCAGTCATAGCTCACTGTAACTTGAAATCCAGGGCTCAAGTGATTCTCCTGCCTAAACCTACCCCGGTGGCTAGGACTACAGGTGTGCAACATCATGCCTGGCTAATTTTTAATTTTTTTTTTTTTAATAGAGACAGAGTTTCACAATGTTGCTCAGGCTGGTCTCAAATTTCTGGGCTTAAGCGATCTTTCAGCTTCAGACTCCCAGAGTGCTGGGATTACCGGCATAAGCCAATGCACCAGCCTGCATTAAAGCAAATCCCAGACAACTGATGTTGTATTTCATAAAAGCTTCCACTGACAATATATGTATATATTTTCATAAAGATCACTACAGAAATCTCACTGAGCATGAGATGTCTAAACCAACTTTAACCACATCTTGTAAAACATTTTACACTAAAACCTATCTGCCTAGAAAACCAATTTGCTTGAATATAAGTGGGTAATTAAAATGACAAAATAAGTTTGAACACAACCCTCTATTAATTTATGGGAGGAAAAATAGCAACATTCTCAGATTGGGAAAATAGTGCATGTTACTTTATCCCTATGGGTCTAGTCTTTGTGGACATTCCAACCAATGAGAGACAAGATTAAAAGTAACATGGTTAGATTTGCCTGGATGGAGCTTAGAAGAGTAGGTAGAGGCTACTAAGGGGGCCAGGAGCTGCCTGGAATAAAACTTTTCCATTTTCCTTCACTACTGTACATCCAGAATAAAACAGAATGCCAATAGGCCAAAACTTAGGAGCTTCAAAAGGCACTCATCAAGCAGTCTAGCTATTTACAATAATTTATTACCAATCTTAAAGATCAAAAGGAACTCCATCAAGAATTTAGATTCAATTCCTCACTGCCTGATGACTAAGTTGTAGAGGAATGAAGGGAAGCCAAAATAATCTGAGGTGACTTTGATACAATGCCACAAAGGATATGAAGAGGAAGCTGGTAGAAGCTGCAAATGGCTAGGTTCCATTAAGAGTTCTAATAAAAGAATGGAATTTCCCTTAACTGCGAATTTAAAAATGTTAGAAGTGGGCGAAATCTAGACAAGCCAGGCAAAACCTGTGATTTGCCATTGCCTTTTTTGTTGTTGTTGTTAAATGTTAACTTTAGCCACTGCTGCACTTATGTTCATTAAGTGGCTTCATCTAAAAAAAAAAAAAAAATGCAATGTTACCTTCAGAAATCTGGCCAATCGCATTCCTTTTGCTGTTGTATTACTTATCAGCCTGCTCCTTCTGTGTGCATTGTCAGACACTATTGGCTCTCTCAATCTCTCTCTTTCAAACAAATTGCTGCATTCTGCAATGTGATTGATTTAGCTTGAAAAATGTAACTTGGAATGAGATAATTTTTAGTATTACATATCACCATGGTCACATGAAGCATAAACATCTCTTTTACAAGTTTTTGGTGCTTAAGTCAATTGGTCACTATAGAAACACTAGAAGCTAGTGTTTCAAATTCTTTCAACTTCTATGAACTGGCACAATTTTTCCCTCCTGAATCCAGACATCTCTGTATTTTCAACCGAGGAAAGTAGTTTTCACACTACTTATTTTGGCTAGTTAAAAAATCCCTACCACATGTCTCCCTGTAAATTCATAGATAAAGATTTAAGTTTATATTAGCATTTCAACTGTGCACATTTTTTGTTTGCTTCTGAAATCACCTCGAATTAACAGATTTACTGGAATCTTACATGGTTTAGAAGTTTTGCGCAAGTCTCAGAAACCTTGTAATCTATTTCCCCATGAAGATGTGGTGTTAAGCATTTTCTTAAAAATGGCTACATATTTTTTCTTTTTAAAAGAGTCCTTATCTTTTACAAATATATTGTAAAATACTTACAAGTAAAAAGATGTCTAGGAATTCTTCAAATATGAGGGATGGAGAATGTAGGGTATAAATGAAACAAGACTGACTATGAATCTGTGAAGCTGTGGGAGGGGTACATGGGGGTCGTTATGTTATTTGGTCATTTTCTGTGTAGCAAAGCTCTAGGCAGTAGATATTTCAGATATAATGCTAGGTACTAATTTTTATTAGGATTTTTATTTAGAAAAATAACTTTCTATCAGGAGCAATGAAGAATCAAGTTTTGCAGTCAGCATTTCAATTATCTTTACCAATCCAAAACCTAAGTTCCTCCAGTACAGCGTTCGGAAAGAAAACACAAAAACTAACCAAACAAAATATACCCCAAAATGTATCTTTTCACTGTCTTTGGGATTTCAGTACCAATATATAACTAGATTTCAATGTGAATAAAATATAATTATTATAGTTCAGAAATACAACATTTCTGTTTTCTTTAAAGGGGATAAAGAGCTAAAAAATTTAAATTGAAATATAAATGTAATTGGCAAGTGTATTTCATAATCACCGTATCTTGGTGAAAATTGTACTATACATTCGGGAAGACTTCAATACTTAATGTGCTATTAACATGCTTCTCTTACCTTGTGATTATACGGACTGTAAGAATGAAATACCCGAGAAAGATCTTTTGTCCTTTGCTTTTTCTGTGAAAAGAAAAAACAAAAACAACATACAAACAATTCAGTTGACAGCAGATAAAAAATATACGTGTGTATATATCTCTATCTACATATATAAAGATATTATTTATTTTTTTTAGAGATTCTTCTTTTGTGGAGGCTGAGGAGACACAGGGATGCAATTAAAAACCAAAGTCACTTTACGGTTATGTGGGTCATTGTCACAGAACAGCCAAGTGACCTCTTCCTAGAAGATTTCATAACTAAAACACTAATCATCATCAAAAACTGTATTTGAAAATACACAAAATACATATCTAAGACTAAAATGAAGAAAAAACTGAAAAAGAAAGAAAATTTAATACACAGGCGCTTCTATTTTCATTGTAATACCAACTGCTGTTACTCAGAATTGGGCACAGACATTCATTCATTTAAACGATACGCCTCCTTCAGGCTTCCTGGTTACGGCTTGGGTCTGTCTGCTTGAGCTTGCAGCTGTGAGGATACCTTTATTGTGTCACTGCTATATAGCGTAGGTACCCTGCATGGTGTTTTACACACAGCAGGTACTCAATAAATATTGGCTAAGTTAATGAATAAATGAATGTATGAGTTATACAGGCATATAACTCAATATCTGTAATGATGACACATAAGCCTCATAGATTAGTTATGAAGAGAAGGTTCTTTTGGCCAAGCATGGTGGCTCATGCTTGTAATCCTAGCACTTTGGGAGGCCGAGGCGGGTGGATCACTTGAGGCCAGGAGTTCGAGATCAGCCTGGCTAACATGGAGAAACCCAGTCTCTACTAAAATTACCAAAAAAATTAGCCAGGTGTGGTGGTGGACGCCTGTAATCCAAATTACTCAGGAGGCTGAGGCAGGAGAATCACTTGAACTTGGGAGGCAGAGGTTGCAGAGAGCCAATATTGTATCACGGCACTCCAGCCTGGGTGACAGAGGGAGACTCCATCCCCCACACCCCCAAAAAAGAGAAGGCTCTTTTCACTTCTAATGACGTGCTCTTCTTAAGCTGAACCCAGGCATTACATGAGTCCCCTCTCCATCCCCTGCTCCTGGGTGCGTCTGTGGCAAGCAAGAAGTATGAAGTTCTCTTACTACAGCCAGTTAGTTAATATAAAAGTGGCTTTTTCCTCATCCACTGTGATCCCTGCCCCATAACCACCATGAGCAATTTGTGTACGGGTCTGAATCTTCTATGCATACACACACATGCGTGCGCACACACACACACAGATTACCACTGCTTTCAAAGAAAAGAGATGATTCTATGTACAGCTATCCCTTAGTACTCCCCGTAGATACCAAAATCCACTGATGCTCAAGTCCCTTATGTCAAATAGTGCAGAATTTGCATATAACCTATACACATCCTCTCGTACGCTTTAAGTCATCTCTAGATTGCTTAGAATATCTCATACAATGTAAATACTATGTAAATAGTTGTTACACTGTATTTTATGAGTATTATTTTAAATTGTACTCTTATTATTGTTATTATTTAGAGACAGGATCTCACGCTGTGGCCCAGGCTGCAGTACAGCGGTACGATCATCGCTCACTGCAGCCTTGAGCTCCTGGGCTCAAGGGCTCCTTTTGCCTCAGCCTCCTACCTGGGATCACAGGCGCGAGACACCAAGCCTGGCTGTTGTTTTTAATTTTTCTAAATATTTTTGATGCCCTGTTTGTTGAATCCACAGATGTGGAACTTGCAGTTACGGAAGGAAGACTATACATTGTTCTGAAATTTACTTTTTCCACTACACAATTTGTCCTGGCAAACTTCCTTGGTTGTACATACAGATCAGCAATTCTCTAAAGGGAGTTTTTCAAAGTTTTTGACATCCAGAAACTTTACAAATGCAAACTTTTCTGTAATTCATTTCAGTTTTTTAATATAATCATAATCTTTGCACAAACATCTTTGCCAGCCTGAGTGTATTTAAAAATAATAAATTATGGAAGCCCAGTTTCAGGATCAGACAATACACACATGTATTACCATAACAGGTAAAGTCAAATTGCCTCTTCCCCACAAACATTGCACCAATTTGTCCCCCTCAGCAACAGTGAATGAGAGAAGGGATCTCAGCTTAAGTTGGTAATTCTTAAGAATTTCTCTCTTCCATTTAAAGGTTAGAATGTTTCTAAATTTACAGAGGCAATCAATGTTTTTAGAACAGATATTGAACATTTTTCTAGCTGGCAATAACAGAATTTATTTCTTGTCCGTCATAGGTTAGCCCACAACCACATCTTGAAATTCTGTCACACAGGTGGTCTCTTTGTCCTTAACACTGCCCCTGTCTTGCTTCTGTTTCTACTCTGATGTTATTCCAACTGCCAGGAGACTGCTTCTGTCATCACTTGTGAATGAATCCTTGACTGCTATCCTGTGTTCTAGGGAAGTATCTTCTACCTCCTCTAGTGTCCTCAGGGACACAGCTATCATACCTCCCCAGTGCCGCAGACCCCTGCCTAGCTCTACATAATCTTCTGCATCTCCTTAGTTAAGCAGTTGGACCCGATATTAATAAGCACCTTGTAAATAAAATCATTTGTGCATACTCATAGTATGAGTTTCCTTGTAGATCAGTTTCCCTATTTCAGAGCTGTCTTTGAAGTCACAATTCCAGTGGCAGTCCTTCAAATCACCTGGCCTTGTTGCTACCATCTGACACCCACTGAAAAGTCATCTCTCCTGCAGCTCAGTCAAAATTCCTGCCTCCTCTCTCCACCTCTGAGCAGTGCTTCTGACCACCAAATTCTAAAGGAATTTAACACTCCTTTCCCCTGGAGAGCAAAAATATATCAGTAAGATGATTGGAAACAGTTCCTGTGGCTAATGAAATGTTAGTTCTGTGAGCCTTGGAATCTGCTTTGAACAGGTCATTTGCCCATCAAAATTTCATTAGCTTAAAATGTTTTCTTTTCTTCGCATATACCCACTTATTCGGTGAAACAGTTCTTGGCTTATACTTCAATCAGAAGAAAAATGATGGAGACTAACACTTACTTTGTTAAGAGACTTGATATAAAACACTGGGGAAAATATTTTCAGAAAAGAAATTATGCTAGATAAAATGAAATAGGTAGCATATCAGTATTAAACTTAGGAGGTGCCCCAAGAACTGAGGCTTATCAGAAATGGCTGAGTGACCAGCTTGCATTGGCAGGTGGAAAAGGAATATTCAGAAGTTGTTTTGTGTGACCTAATGTAGGTTTTGATTTTATTTTGTTGGTTAACACTTATACATGCTTTTTATCCTAAGTACCTCAATTTTGGGAAATAAATGGAGGATAACTAAATAACACTACGCATATTAGCCTCAAAGACCCAGTAAAGAAACAATGCCTTTTCTGACAACAAGTTTATTATATACAAATACTGTGAAGTCTTGGCATATTGAAGGTTATAGGCATCCACCCAGTTAACTGAAAACCACTGCTATTCTTCCTCTGAGATCAGTCACACAACAGTGGAGTATCTTCTGGAATCCAGAACAGGGGTTGGCAACTATGCACCCGTAGCCAATCCGACCCGCTCCCTGTTTTTATTTTTTAAAAAAAGTTTTATTGAAATGCAGCCACAAATCCTAAAGTACTTACACTATGGCCCTTTATAGAGAAAGGTAACCACCCCTGATCTAGAATGTCTATCCCTGACCATATCTACTTCTGGAAGTCGTCCCTTAACTCCAAACCCCATGAACAAATAGCTACCCTGCAAAATTCCTGGCTCCTTCTATTTGCTCAATGGACAGTTCCAAGAGCCAATCGTAACCTATATACTGAAACACTGGGATGAATGTACCAAGCATAATAACAATTAGCTGTCTTGTTTTCAGGATATTTCCTCAGTGCTTCTATGTACAGGCAAAAAATATTCCAAGTGGCTTTCTAGAGCATGCTGAAATAGATATGGGGCTTTCAGAGCCGTCTGTATTCACACTGTAACTGCTGATGACAGAAGCTCTGAGAAGAAATCCTTTACTAAGTTCTAGCACTAAAGCCAAGTAAGTTTCATACACAAGTTAACTAAAACACGGCCATTATTACTAGTGAGCCAGTTTCTCCTATGTAGGCAATGTTAAGAGAACTACTCTACAAAACCTGTCGAGCCTTGCTATCAGCAGTTTTAACTGAAACGAAAAGCTGAGCCAAAAATGGAATAATTAGGTATTTTCCTATTGCATCATAGCGTATGCCTAAATTACCTCCCAGTTTTTAGCCTGTTAAAACAAACATCTCAGTCATGTAACCACCTGTTAGTTCTCCAAACGTTTAAAAAGTAAACATGTTAAACAAGTTGTGTGATGGACTTGTAACAAGGGTGGCCAGAGTACCGTGAATATGGCAAACATTTTTCCCCAAATTGTACAAGGTACCTTCAAGTTACCTTTATCATTAATCCCAAGTTACAGGCCACAGAGATGAGAGGATATTTAAAAGTAATTACATGCTGCGTCCTGCATTCTATGTGGGCTGCCGTGGGTTTAAAAAATAAGGCAGTATGCATGTTTGGTAAAACTTCTAGATTCCCGAGAAGCTGAACCTCTGTAATCTTCATCTTACAGGCACTTCATAAATTGCTTTCATATTCTACTCTCCAAGGACAGAAAACACTGATGACTTTTTTTTTTCTTATACTCATGTTTAAACTCCTTTACAGACAAAACCAAACAAAACTAAATACCCCAAGAGACTATTTTTAACAGTTCAGGTTTCCAGACAATGTAATCATTTCAATTTTTATCAAAGATACATAACAGAGCTCAGTTCTGAAAGAGGCTCCACATGTTATAACAGCTTGTATTCTGAATGTGAGGTTATACAACCAATCAAATTTTAGCAGTATCCACGAACTTAACTTCTTTTGGTTCCCCAAACCAATTCAATGCTTTCTGTATCCATTCTCTAGTTGATGATTAACGTTTTCCCAAATAAAACGGTGTTATTATAAGAAAAAGCTATAATAGGACTATGGACTTCATTTCTAC